GGGTGGGAAGAGAGAAACCACAGAACTTATATGCATGTGTGCATGACCAATGGACATGGACAACTAAGCCGGGGATGGGGTGGAGGTGGGGTGGGGTGGGGTGGGGTGGGGGGTGCCAATGGGGTAAAAAAGGTAAAATATCTGTAACAAAAAAATAAATAAAAAATAAATAAAAATAAAAAAAAGAATAAAATGTTTCATGTACTCAAAAAAAAAAATAAACACTCAATAAAACAGGTATAGAAGGAAAGAATCTCAACATAATAAGGTCATATATAAAAAACACTTAGCTAATATACTCAACAGTGAAAAACTGAAATTTTTTTCTCTAAGGTCAGAAACAAGACAAAGACGACCACTCTCAGCAGTTATTCAACATAGTACTTACTGGATGTCCTGGCCAGAGCAGTTAGGAAAGGGAAAAAAATAAAACGCATTTAAATTGGGAATGAAGAAGTAAAACTGTCACTTTTGTCGTGGCCGGTTTGGCTGGGTGGTTACAGCGTGGGCCTGCGGACCGGAGTCCAGGGTTTGGTTCCCACTAAGGGCACATAGCTAGGTTGCAGTCTGTCCCAGGCCCTGGTTGGGGTCGTGTGGGTGGCAACCAGTTGATGTGTCTCTCTCACATCGATGTTTCTCTCTCTTCCCTCCTCTCTCCCTCTTGCTCTATCTGAAGATAAATGCGAAGGTGTCCTTGAGTGAGGATTAAAAAAAAAAAATGTCACTTTTTGGCAGATGACATGATTATTTACATAAAAAAACCCTAAAGATTCCACCAAAAAACTGTTAGGAACAATAAACAAATACAGTAAAGTAGCAAGATACAAAATCAATATACAAAAATCCATGGTTTTCCTATATACTAAGAATGAAATTTCAGATGAAATAATGAAAAAAAAACCAAACATACAAAAAACACCTCAATTATATTTGCAATAGCAATAAAAGTAAAACACCTAGGAATAAACTTAACAAAGGAAGTGAAGGACCTGTACACTAAAAACTATAGACACTGCTCAAAGAAACTGACGATACAAAGGAATGGAAATATATTACAAGTTCATAGATTGGAAGAATCAACAGAAGCAATATACAGATTTAATGCAATCCCTATCAAAAGCCTAATGGCATTTTAAAAAGAAATAGAACAAAAAAATATTCTCATTTGCAGGGAACCACGAAAGACCCCAAATAGCCTGCAAAGCAATCCTGAGAGATAAAGAACAAAGACAGAGGGGTATCATACTCCATGATTTCAAATTACATTACAATACTATAATAATCAAAATGGAAGAAGAAAAGACGCATAAATCAATGAAATATAATAAAGGCCACAGAAATAAGCCCACATATATATAGGAAACTAATTTTTGACAAAGGAGCCCAAAATATACAATGTAGGAAAGAAAGCCTCTTCAATATATGGTACTGAGAAAATTGGAAGCTCATGTAAAATAGACTGCTATTTGATACCATTATACAAAAATTGACTCAAAATGATCAAAGACCTAAAACTATGTAAATTACATAGAAGAAAGCACAGGTTCTAAATTTATGGATCCTGATCTCAGAAAGGATTTTAGGAATTTGACCCTAAGGGAAGTAAAAGCAAAAATAAATGAATGGGACTGTATCAAACTAAAAAGCTCCTGCACAGCACAAGAAACTGCCAACAAAATAAAAAGGCAACTGAATAGGAGAAAATATCTGCAAACAATATAAATCAGTCATAATGAGCCCTGGATGGGTAGCTCAGTTGGTTAGAGCATCATCCCAATATGCCAAGGTTGTGAGTTCATCTGATCCCTGATCAGGGCACCTACAAGAATCAACCAACAAATGCACGAATGGGTAGAATAACAAACTGCTATTTCTTTCTCTCTCTCTAAAATCGATTAATAATAAAAAAAATCCACAATGAGATAACACCTCATACCTGTTAGAATAGTTGTTATCAACACAGGAAACAAGTGTTGGAAAGGATGGAGAGAAAAAGAAATTTTATATCCTGCTGATGGGAATGTAAATTGGTATAACTACTATGGAAAACAGCATGGAGGTTCCTCAAAAAATTAAGAATTGAGCTACCATATTACCCAGCAATCCCTGTTTTAGGTTATCAACCTTAAAATTTGAAAACATTTATTTGCGAAGATGTATATTTACCCCTATATTTATTACAGCATTATTCACATGGAAACAACTGAAGAGTCCTTTGGTAGATGACTGGATAAAGATGTGGTACATAGACACAATGGACTACTACTTAGTAGTAGTAGAGGAAAACAGGAAATACTGCCATTTGAATCCTGAGAATATCATAGTGAGTGAAATAAAACAGAAAGCAACAAACAAAACAAACAGCCCTGGCTGGTTTGGCTCAGCGGTTAGAGTGTCTGTTGGCCTGTGGTCCAGAGAGACCCGGGTTCGGTTCCCGCTAAGGGCATGTACCTTGGTTGCAGTTTGTCCCCGGCCCTGGTTGGGTCGTGTGGGTGGCAGCCACTTGATGTGTCCCTTTCACGTCAATGTTTCTCTCTCTCTCTCTCCCTCCCACTCTATCTGAACAAAATATGGAAAAATGTCCTTGGGTGTGGACAAACAAAACACTCATAGACACAGACAACAGTGCTGTGGTTAGCAGAGAAGGGGGTTGGGGGAAGTAGAAAGTAAAGGAAGCCAAATTCATGGTGACGAAGAAGATTTGATTTTTGTGTGGTAAAAACACAATGCAATAAGCAGAATGTATCACAGAACTGTACAACTGAAACTTAACTAATGTTACCCCAATAAATTTAATTTAAAAAAAGTATACAATATGCTATATGTGTTGTAGCTTACTGTCCTTAGAATTCAACTTGTCTTTAAGCTGCCCTAATTAACAACCTCAGAGACAGCAAGATGAACAATGGGGAATGTTATAGAGGGCTTTAGCCCCATAAAAATTAACTAAAGTTTGACCTTCACTGGGAATTTGAAAAGCAACATCCTTCAAGAAAAGGGAGGACAGAAACGGCCCCAAGGCCAGAGTGTCCTGCATGCTCTGTAAAGAAACTGATAGGGAGAAACTGAAGCTCCCTTTACCCCATTAAACTTTAACTGTTCAACATGTGTGTATTGCACCTGACTGACCGCTGATATCTGTCTCGAATTTGTTAGTTTTTAAAATTTGGATAATGAAATGAATAGCAGGACAGATGTATGCTGACCCAGTTCCCTTTCGCCTCAGCTCCCTCCCCCCTCCGTTCCCTCCTGCTTATCGCTAACTGCCTCGGCTTCTGTACACGCAGCTTGTTTGCTCTGCTAAACTCTTGAATGACCCCTGCCCTATATAAGCAACCCTCCCCGAGCTCGGGGCTGCAGTTCTCCTCTGTGTAGGTTGGCTGCAGTCCCTGCAGTCCCTGCGCAGGTAATAAAACATCCCCAAAAACTGAAAAATGGAGTCTGAGTGTGGTCGATCTCCTGGGTTACAACATATGTAGCAGAAAACAATTCAATGAAGAAAATGAATGCACAGGATTAGAGCTATTCTTTTCCCTCAGAATAAACAGTCAGAAAAATCATAAAATAGATTGGTGCAAGATCTTACTCCTAAAAATCTTTAATCCTCTCAACCAGTTGTATGAATTATTGTTGTTTTAATTAATGAAGTATTTTTCAGTTCTAGATTTTAAGTCTAGTTCCAACTTTGACTTAGCAATACTTCGTGGCTTAAGTTCTAAGGATTTGGTTTAATAATGAATATGGAAGCTTAATAATAAGTTCTCTATTCTGGAGTTTCATGTGCACTGTGCTGCCGCTGTGGAATGCCAGTAATTCAAACATGGTTATTAAAGTCATAAATTAACAGACTAAAGGTAATAAATACTATACTTTTTACTAGATCAATGAAGAGAGTATATCCACGTATCCAATGGAGAGTGGAGATCCGCAATTGTTGAAGGATAGGTGTAAGGTCTTATAGAATTTAGCCTTGTTATTCTGCACACAGGTAACTTGGAAGGAGCCCAGATGTCTTGCAAACAAGCTCTGGAATGTTCCCATAACCTTGGAGAGCACATACCTTGCAAACAAGTATGTTACAACATATGCCTGCAAATGGGATATGGTTGACTCCCAAGGAACTCTTTGACCTTAAAGATTAAGGAACAGTTAGATTACAACGAGAGTGAAGCCAGCGAATTCTTTGGACCTAGCCTAATGTAGATAGAGAATGTAAAAATAAAACGACGCAGTACTCGGCGCTGCAGTCTTGTACCCTGTCTTTTGTGTTTGTCTGTTTCTTTGTTCATGCCCCCCCCCCCCCCACACACACATATGGGAGGCAACAATAGGCACACACACAAAAGTTGAAAGAGAAGAATTTGAGCTCAAGAATTAAACTGCCAGGGCTCAAAACCTGGCTCCCCCACTTAACAGTTTAAGACCATAGGTAAATTCTTTTTGTTTCAGTTTCTTCATCCTAAAAATGATCAAAGTAATGTTTACTTTGTTGTTAGATTAATGAGACAATTCACATCTTAGATACATCATAGGCACTTAATAGATGTCAGCTATTTTTATTAGTAATCTAAAGGTTTTCCTTTATACTATTTTACTGGACACAGTGAAGAATAAAATAAATATGTAAGGGCCAGTAAAACCCAAGATCTAATATAACTACTGCTTCTTTAATTTTACGTTCTGACACAGTTAAGATGTTTACCCATATACAGTTGAAAATCACATAGCTCAGGACTGGCACAGCTCAGTTAAAAAGTCATTTAGGCTCTTCACAACCCAGTCCTCTGTGCAGACTCCAAACTCCCTCTTGACTGTGTTCCTACTATTTAGGCTAAAGGACAGTAGACATACATACTGAGAATATTGTATTCTATTTAAGCCAGAAGAAAGTGGACATATAAGATCTAAGAATAATTTACTTATAGGTCACATGAATACATCAGTAGCATATGTAGTGGTAGTCACAAGAAAAAGTACAACCACAACAATCAATATATTACCTTAACTTTAATAAGCTTCTGAGGATTTCTTCTCCTACACCGGTTAACTTCAATGCTGCGTCTGTTTTTGGGCACTGCCATCCAAAAGATACTATCCAAAAGGCTGAAAATCTCCTTACTTCCATTAGTATCATTTGCTGTTTCTGTAAATATTGCTGGAACTTGGACCACTAATGCTGGTTCTACAAAATCAAACATGGAAATTTAGAATAAGTTTTTAGCTTCTAAATGACTATTTTCAGATATCACTCTCCTTAACGATCAACAGTGACATAAAAACAGACATACAGATAATTTATACTATTACAACCAATAGACATTTAACAGAAAACCTTAGTTTTAAATTCTACCAAAACTCGTACATAAAGCAATTTTAAAGAGTACAAGCAGAATTTTTTCTTAAAGGTACCTGCTGAAATAAAATCAGTGAAATTCTACCAAGAGTTTCTCACCTCATGAAAAACACCACTCTGGGGTTTAGTAGTAAACATGAAAATAATTCTGAGAGGCACCTAATTTAAATAAAACAAAGCAAAAGAAAAAAAAAGAAACCCTCCATTGTCCATATCCAGCCAGTAGGCAGTACACCTAATTACTTTACAAGTAAATCTAAGTTTCAGAATCCAAAAATGTACTTCTGATCCAGTGAGATAACTACCTACTGACTCTTTTTTATTATATTCAAACTGAGTTAATTCCTTTGTCATATAAGCCAGCAGGCCCTATTTAAGTCACTTATTTCATAATATTTAATCTTGACTCCTGTCTGTTCTCTAAGAAAAAGAACTAGCTCTCCGTTTTTTGTATATTAACTTATGTGACTATCAACATTTCACTTTTGTTTTTCTAAATTGCTTACAAAATAAAATAGATTCCTTCACCGTCTCTTTGCTATTTCTCATACTTGCAATACTTATTCTTATTTTAGTAACTCTTAAGAATAGAGGCCTCGGCTGAGTAGCTCAGTCCGTTAGAGGGTGGTTCCAATAGCCAAGGTTGAGTGCTTGATCCCCGGTCTGGGCACACACAGGAGCTAACCTTCCTCTCTCTTTAAAATCAATCAATCAATCAATCAATCAATCAATCAATCTACCTGAGACTCTTCAGTCCCCGGGCGGAGGCTCCAACTGCTGAGCCAAACCGGCCAGGGCAAAACATTTTTTAAAAAACATATATATTTACATATATACATATATAAATATATGTATATAAAGCTGTGTAGCACTTAAGAACTGATATTTCTTTTTATATAACAGTACTTCTAAGCATAACCCAATGGTAAAGAGCACAGGCTTTGGAAGGCTATGTAACCTTGGGACCTTTCGTAACCTACTTACTCACTTGAAAAGTAGAGATGTCTAATGAGATTGTTCTGAAAATTATCCCAGGAAGCACAGGCAGGCTTTGGCATACTCAGTTCAGTAGAATGTAAATACCAAAGCAATAACAATTTTAATGTTCAGGACACCTCCGATTCAAACTAGTTTCCGGGAGAAACTCGGCGATCAGGATTCACATGCACGGAGCTAAAATACCACAAAAGACAAATTGTTTTATGTTTTAGGGTGTGGGAGGACTGGAAAGGAAAAATAAAAGGATCCACATAAAGGCAGCCCTTGACGATGAGCTAATGAGCTTCGGTAACACTGCGTGTAGGAATGCGACACAGGGCTTCTTTCCTAGCGGAATGGGAGCAGAGAAAAACAGCTGTTTCTTCTTCCTAAGTAAGCGCCCCTGGAAAAAGTCGCCTATCGCCGATCGGAACACACGTGAGAAGAGCAGAGTATGAACTGTAACCCTCACGCTGCCTGGAGTTCCCTCATCCATCCCTTCTCTACAGCGGCCTTCTTTACGTACCCCACGAAGTGCTGGGAAAGCCTGGCTGGTTCTTCTGAAGTTTTCGCTGCAGTCGCTCCCAACAGTTCCGGACGACTCCACGGGCTATACGCAACGACGGAACCATCAGCACCAACATGGCTGCCAATACCTTCCCCGCCCGGCGGGAAGCCTTCTCTAACACGGCAGCCGAGTCCCGTCCCTATCCTGAGCATGTGCACAGAGGCAGAATCCTGCAAACCCGGCTTATGGAACTACAACGCCCAGCATGCCGCTGGAGCGCCTCTGACTCTCCTCCAATCAGAGGGAGAGAAAGGAAGGCGCGGGGAAGGAAATGAAAAGAAGCTGGCCGCAGTGCGCAGGTGTGTGGACGTCTTTTGGTCTCCGAATAAAGATGGCGGAGCGTGGTTACAGCTTTTCGTTGACTACGTTCAGGTATGCAGATTCTCTGCGTAGATGAGGTTATCGGATCTTCGCCCACCGCTTTTTTATGTCTTGGTCTCTGACTTGGTGCCTCCCAGGCCCCAGTAGGGTGTCGGGGTGGAAATGCGACTTTGCAAAGTCATCTGTCGGGCCTGCTGGCGGCCTGGAGAGCAGAGGTCCCGGGAGGGCACGTGAACGCTGGTCGGGAGATCCCGGGCGACCCTGAGGTTGTGTAGGGATACGGCCCTCAGCCAGGGATTTGCTTTCTATTTAGAGACTAGGGAAAAAGGCAGCTTTTGCTGAGCTATCTCCGAGTGTCCCGTTCAGAACTCAAGATTTCCTTCCTGACCCAGATAGGCCCAACTCCGGAGCTTCTGGAGCTCGGAATGTTGGTCAAATCTGAGAAAGCCTCTACTTTACCATTTGATCTGAGTCTTAGTCTCCTTTTGGTACTAGTGTCTTTCAAAGTCTCCCATTTTCGGTGCCCTTATTTGAAGCTCAGGGACTAAAAATGAAAGTGCTAAGCTTTCTATCACCTAGTGTTTGTGGACCCCAGACTACTAGTTTCATTTGCGTTTTAGACATTTTTGGAGGACGATATGTTTCCTTTTAAAAAGATTGTATACTTTTCTATTTTAGAACGAGGGGTTAAAATAGTAAGTATATATTTCAAAACAATTGAGATGAACCGTCGTTCACAATGTAAGAAAACCATTGCCGAAGATTTAATAAACCGACGGGGAAGAAAGAGTTCAGTTTGACCATTTTGTTAGGATCAGTAAGGCCCCATTTAATTAAAATGTATTCCTATCTGCCCTGGCCGGTGTGGCTCAGTTGGTTGATCGTCATCCCATGCAGCCATTTCCACCTCCCAGTCTAAGCACGTGCCCGGATTGCGGTCTTGGCTACCGAAGGGGGGGAGGGGGGAGGCGGTGGCGCTGCTAGAGGCAGCCACGGATGTTGCTCATGGATGTTTCTGTCTCTCATCCTCTCCCTTCCTCTCTCTAAAATCAAGAAAAACATATTTAAAATATATTTTAAAGACTTTAAAAAATACACTAAAAACAAAATCTTGCTTTTTATTAGCATGATTGTTTGACTTTGTATTAGATTTTAAAAAACACTTGTTTGTAGCCTGTTGTAATGAAAATTAAATGGTAGAAATGATGAGGCTACTGTATGATGAAAAGGTATTCTTGTATATTGCATGCAGTTGGGAATATTGACAGTAAATGAGGGAAAAAATTGGTGCCTGTAATTGCATTCTGAAAAATGTATGTCTCTTACTTGGGAATTTTTACAAAAGGAGGGTTAAAGAAGAAACATAACTTCAGATTGGGTAGTCAGTCAGGAAAGGTCAGTGCCGGGGGTGGGGGGTGAGTTTTGAGATTGGAAGATGAAAAGGAGCCTACTGTTAATTTTTAAAGATTTAGGGGAAGAGAGTTGCAGAGAGAGGGAAGAGCATATATGAAAGTCCTAAAGTTGAAAAAGAGCTTGAATTCTTAAAAGAATTGATAATAAGGCAAATGGTGTAGAGTATAGTGAGGAATGAGTTAGCGTGGATCAGGTCCAGTCTTGTAGGGCTAGACTAGCCGCTAGAGTAAGGAATTTTTATTATAAGTGAACCAAGAAGTTACAGAATTTTAGCAGGGAGTGACATGGTACAAAGATAATTCTGGCTGGGGGGGGGGAGATGGGGATGGAAGTAGGATGGAAAAGAGGAAAATTATTTACAAGGGCTATTTCAGTTATCCCAGGTAGAGATGTTGGTGCTTTGGAATGAGGTAGAGGCGTGATTGAATACAGAGATTGGTCAGTGAGCTCACAGATTAGTGAGTTTTCATACAGAAGGATGCAATGATAAGTATGATTAATGTGTATATAAGTGATTATATAAACGGGAAAGGTAACTTTAAGTTTACTGAGCCTTTAACATGTTCCCCAGAGGTATTTGAACTAAGTATTGAACAATAATGGAAAGCTGGATGCAATGGACCCAGAATATCATGATATATATAATTGAAGTAGTCACCATTAAATGAAAACAAGCACAGTCTAATTTTTTCATTTAAAAGCCTGTTGATGTTATTCTGCTCAAGTCAGCTGATTTTGTCATTTAATAGCCTTTAAATTACCACATCTAGGCTTATTTCTTAGATAGATCTAGATTTGTCTCTGTCAGCCATGTGATTATGGACTCCTAGTAATAGGTTATGTGTCGGAACTGAATGAACAGAGCTTCCACTTGGTTAAGACAAACACTGTAAACAATAATTCAAGTATGATGCATTTTAGTCAAAGAGGAAGTACATCGTACCATAACGATGAAGGGTATGTGATTCAACCTAGTTTGGGGTGATCAGGGCAGCTTCCCCAGGACATAACATTTTAAGAAAGATTAAGGGTGACCAGGAAAGAGTTCATCAGGTAATGGTGAAATGCATTCCAAACAAGGATTAGTTTATCAAAGGGGTTTTTGAAATCTAAGAGTAGTCTGTATGCCTGGAGCAAAGTGGGATGGTACAAATTGAGATTTGAGTAACAAGAGTATCCATAATTTTATGAAGATATAAAAGAGGGCATTTTGAAACTCAAGATTATATTTTCAGTGGTAGACTGTGGAGCTGTGTACCTAGCTGTGTCACTCTAGACAAACTACTTTTACTCAAGGACTTTATAAAGTAGGAAAGGTGATCTGTGACATTTGTGGTGATTCTAACTCAACAACTAGATGGAAATAAAGTATAATCTAAAAAGCCATTTGGGGCCTAGTATTTGGCTATCAAACCCATGGAACCAGATGTGTTACATGTAACTAGCTTATGACTTCTAGAAATAGTTTTATACTAAGTAGGAAGTGGTTTGTTGTTACTGATACCTAGTTCTTATGTCTTAGGCCAATCTACTTTAGAAAACGTATACATAACTCTACCCACATGAAGTATATGCATTTGTTTGGTATTTAACAGACACATTCATGTTCTTAATAACATTACTATTTTGGTATTTACTTACTGCTCATTTTGTGCTGGAAACAAAAGGCATCCTTCATTCAATCCGCAGCCTTTGAAATAGGTATTGTTATCCCCATTTTACAGATTAGAAAACTGAGACACAGAGAGGTTAAATAACTTGCCCATAGTCACAAGGTTGAGGTGAGTGGTGAAAGACAACAGTAATGATAATTCTTTAAATGGCAGACAAGAAAACAACCAAAGGAAAGAAATTAGTACTTAACTACGAAGATGTTCAAATCGCCTTGGTAAACTTTAGTTTCTGTACAATTTCATGATAAATTTCAAAGTCTAGCTATTTCTGTGCTTTTGATTAATGGATTTAGAGATGCTCCTATAATAAATATTTGAGAATGTATGAATTTAACAAAATACCTTTGTTTCTTCTTAAGCCCGTCTGGGAAACTTGTCCAGATTGAATATGCTTTAGCTGCTGTAGCTGGAGGAGCCCCTTCAGTGGGAATTAAAGGTAATTAAATACTTCATTCATTTCCGATGCCTGTTAATATTTATCCTAATGTTCTTAAGGAATTAAATAGTAATAAACTTATTAATAGCTATAGCATCATAATTTTTAAGTTCTTTTTGTTTATGGTATTTGAAGTTTAAAGAAAATAGTAAGTCTAACAAGGTGATTACTTTTTTTTTTTTCAAAATATGCATAGTACCTTTAGCTAATTAGTTTGATGATCTATAGTCGTTCCCATTCAGATAACTGAGTATTCTTTTATTTTGCCATTCATCATAAATCACTATTCTCTGGCAGTTTTTATCTTTACTGTGATTTAGAAAAGGTTATTTATAAAACTTAATCTAAAAATACCAACATCTCTGTCATTGATTTTAAATTTCAGATTATAAAACCAGTATAACGAAGTAGGCAAAATTCCATTATTTAAAAACATGTGTACTCTTAGATGTCCTGGAATACTTTAAGAAAGTTGTATAATACTGTTAGCTGTAGGGATTTCTTAGTATATATCGATTACCAGATAGGGAAAAATTGATTCACTGATGATCCTTAGGTAACTTTAATATAGAAATGCAGAGGAAAAACTTTTATAAGTAAGAGGAAATGAGTAAAATGTAGCTATAATTAGGAAACTGTTGAAGCAGTCTTTATTTATTTATTTTTGCATTTATCTTCAGATAGAAGGGTGGGGGGAGGGGGAGAGACAACACATCGAGTGGTTGCCACCCACATGACCCCAACCCAGGTGGGGACAAACTGCAACCCAGTTACGTGCCCTAAGCCAGAACCGAACCGGGACTCTCTGGTCCGAAGGCCAACCGATGAGCCAAACCGGCCAGGGCGAAGCAGCCTTTAATGATTAAATATTTAGGTGTTCTTTTGTGTGTGTGTTTTCTTTTATTCTTTTAAGCTGCAAATGGTGTGGTATTAGCAACAGAGAAGAAACAGAAATCCATTCTGTATGATGAACGAAGTGTACACAAAGTGGAGCCAATTACCAAGCATATAGGTTTGGTGTATAGTGGCATGGGCCCAGATTACAGGTACGTCATACTATTTATTAATTTTCTCACCATTTCATGACTTGCTCGGAATTCCCATTTGAGGGGGAAAAAAATCAAGGAATGCTTATCTTTTAATCTCCCAACTCCTCCTTTTTTTCTTTGGTTTTGTATAACAACAGCAGCATCTCTGGCAGCTAAATTTAGATTGCCTTTATGTCACAGACTAAGGTTTACTTTAAGGATATTCATTTCAAGTTGGTTATAAAAGGGGAGATAGATACAGTACTGACTCCTCTTACACGTGTTTAGTAATTTCTTCCTTCTAATCACAGCCTTCTACCATCCAAGGGCTGGGCTTCACGGGCTTTGCTGTTTTCTCGTGCATTTTAAAAACAATAAAAGCAATATAAGTTATAATAGGAATAATAAACTATACAGTGGAACCTTGGTTCTGGAACTTAATTTGTTCTGGAAGGCTTGAGAAGTGATTAGTTCGAAAACCAAATCATTTTTTCCCATAAGAAATAATGTAAATTGGATTAATTTGTTCCAGACTCCCAAATGATTCCGTTTTAACCTTTTGTTTTTTAAAAAAATATGCTTTTATTGATTTTTTTTTTTTTTTAAAGAAAGAGGAAGGGAGAGATAGAAACATTGATATGAGAAAGAAACATTGATATGAGAAAGAAACATTGATTGGCTGCCTCCTGCACACTGCATACTGTGGATCAAGTCTACAAGCCTGGGTGTGTGTCTATTGTACTATTTAATCTATAAACAAACACTTCATTTCTTAAATTTGTTAAACCAACCCCTACCAGCTTCAACCAAATCATTTCAGGACTCCTTCCTGGGGTAACTTTCAGGAAGTCAGTATGCTTCATTTGCTTTTTCAGTTATCACTGCCTCCAAAATGCTGTCACCAGCTAACTGCTTTTTCTTTATCCAAATTAACACCTGTTTTTCTACCTCTTCAGTTGCCTGTGGTCATTGTTTCTTTCATACAGTTAGCAAAATTAGCATTCTTTATGGCCTCTTTATGTTTTAAAATTGTGCTAATCTTCCATTTTGCCAGTAACAAAAGCAAAAAAAAAAAAAAAAAAATACTACTCTTGCCCTGGCCGGTTTGGCTCAGCGGTTAGAACGTCGGCCTGCGGTCCACAGAGACCCGGGTTCGGTTTCCGCTAAGGGCATGTACCTTGGCTGCAGTTTGTCCCCAGCCCTGGTTGGGTTGTGCGGGTGGCGGCCGCTCGATGTGCCCCTTTCACATCGATGTTTCTCTCTCTTCCTCTCTCTCCTTCTCACTCTATCTGAGTAGAAAATGGAAAAGTGTCTTCGGGTGAGGATTAAAAAAAAAAAAATACTCATAGTGAATTTCCTGAGATGTTAACAAGCAAGCAAAAGCTAGGTTTAACTTTTGTAAACTGACTCACATTATTTCCTTTGTTTGTGGCCTGAGAGATGCTTTTGTCATGCTGATACATCAGCATGAAAAGATTGTCAAGTCAAGAACTGAAGTTTTGTTCCACAACCCAGACATTTTTTTTCCCCTGAACAACTTGGTGCAGAACTGAATTGTTTGAAATGGGAGATGTTTGAGAACTGAGGTTTGACTGTATTTTAAAAAGTCATCAGGAGCAGAAGAAAGCATCACCATTCAGAGTTAACTTCATTTTATTTCTGTTTTTAGTAAAGGGACAAAATTCTCAAAGACCACTGAAGGTTGCTGAATATGGCAGCTATTCAGGATCCAGATGCTCATCTAGATGTTCACTCCTTTGCATTTCATAGGAGAGAGTAATCCTGTTAACAACAGGGCACAAGCAAGTTGAAAGATTGACAGCTCTCTGTCTGTCATTTAACAGTAAAAGAAGTATGACTTCATTACCCCCACCCCCGGGAATCCTCACCCGAGTATATTTTTATATTGATGATTTTTTTTTTTTTTTAGAGTGGAAATGGGGATGGGGGCATCAATTGGTTGCATTCTAGGTATGACCCTATCCAGGGCTGGAAATCAAACCTGAAACCCTTTGGTCCGTGGGCTGTCACTTTAACCACTGAGCCAAACTGGCCAGGGCATGATTTCCTTCTTGATTTTATGTGGAAAACAATAGGTAGAGCCAAAATTTCACTTTAATTGTTAGGGAAAAGACTCAGACCAACACCGGAAGAAGCGAAGAGTTTCCTTTATTCATGCATGCAGACCCAGAGGAGGCAATCTCCAAATTCTGGGCCCTGAGTTGTAGGGCACCCCTAGCTTTATAGCAGGCTGGGCAGACATTCTTTAGGTATGAGAGTAATAAGCAGCTTACAGAAGCAAGAAGCAGAAAGGTCTGGTTATCTCCTGGGTGCTTGCTTTTTCTAAAATAGCTGCTTACCTCCTCTGTCATAATAAGTTTAAAGGCAACATTGTTGCTGGAATATGATCAGGCTTCACTACAGTGGATCCTGTTACTCCTGTATAGAAGGGATGCCTCTGTGTACTACCACTGACAGAATAAACTGACAGGTAATAGAACCTCAGTTTTTATTGTACAAGGGCATAATGTGCAGGATTCAGATCAGTAGTACATGAGCAGGTAAAGGTATACCCAATTTCTCTTGCTATATATTTGCTTGTTAAACAGTATATTCTTTTGATAAATTTTACATTTTTTAGTTATAACTAGTTTTTTCCTATCCTTTATCTCTGAAAGGCACTCTGAAGTATAGTGTGTGGAAAAGATTGAGGCAGAGTGAGGAAAAAATGCTTGAAATATTGTGTATTATTACATGTGCAGGTGTATACGTGTGTGCTGGATTGAGATATAAAATAACGGTGATTGCCCTTGGGATAAGGAACACAATCTTGAAACCATGGAGGGAAATAAAGTTCTCCTTGTGTACACTAAATCTGTTATTAGGCTGACCGGTACTTCTAGACTCTCTCTCTTTTGCTTTGTCTTTATTCATTTCCCATGGCTCATCTCCTCTGTGATGCTGTGATGCTTTCTTCTAAATTAACTGGAATCATGTAAGAGCATGACTGGCTTTCAGTAGAAAGCTACTGTGAAAGAGAGATATATAAAACTTGGGCTGTAGATATATACCATTAGAAGGAGAATTAGTCTTTAGAGTGTCTTAATTTTACTTAAACCTTATTTTTTCCTTGTTTGCTAGAGTGCTTGTGCACAGAGCTCGCAAACTAGCTCAGCAATATTACCTTGTTTACCAAGAACCCATTCCCACAGCTCAACTGGTACAGAGAGTAGCTTCTGTGATGCAAGAATATACCCAGTCTGGGTAAGTTGATTTTATTGCTTGAAATGTATCATAAATTAGAAAAAGAAATCACTTTTCAAAAGTAGAGATATTTACAAAAGATGACTTAACTATTTCTGTATTTGCTTAACAAGTAGAGAAAATCACAGCGATGAATAATTGCTCAACTGGAGCCTACAATATTTTCTTAAGGGAAAAATTTGAAGTTTTCTTGCCGTTCATATAAGATGAAAAAGTAGCTTCTAACTAAAGTTCTTTTGTCAGTTACTAAAACTTTTTTATAGGCAAACAACCCTGCTGCTTCCAAGTTTATCATCCATATCAGAAATGCTCATAACATACCATGAAAGCAGTAACTCTTTGACACATCCATATTCTTTTTAATTCTCTTGAGTTTGGGTGTGAACATGGATGAGATAGTGTAAAGAAGTTGCTGATATGTAAAGCCAGTAGAAAATCTGAATTGCTGAAGGTTGTCATTTTGTTAGGATATTAAGTGTTACTCTACACTTATTAAACTAAATATTTCTGGCACTCCAATTACCAAAATTATTTAACCAGTATTCCTTGGTACCACGAAGAGAATTCATCGTGATTTGTTCAGAAAGGTATTAAGTACTTTTCTTTTTTTTTAATCCTCAATCCGAGGATATTTTCCCATTTACTTTCAGACAGAGTGTGAAGGAGAGACAGAGAGAAATATCCATGTGAGAGACACATTGATTGGTTACCTTCCACATGACCCCATCCAGGGCTGAGGACTGAACCACAGCTGAGGCACATGATAGGAATCGCACCCACAACACCTGGTCCGTAGGCTGACACTTCAACAGTTGAGCCAGACCAGCCAGGACTACTTTTTTTTTTTTAAAGAATTTGCAAGTCTAATTGGTTTACCTGATAATTTGCTTTACTTGAGAGTGTTAATAAATTCTTACTTAGGTTGACTTTAACAATGTGAAGATGCCAAGTAATTTCCATTTTGCTTTCTTCAGTGGTGTTCGTCCATTTGGAGTTTCTTTACTAATTTGTGGTTGGAATGAGGGACGACCATATTTATTCCAGTCAGACCCATCAGTAAGTATCACCAGATGTATTTGAGGGATTTGTTAAAGTGCTCCTTTAATATCTAGTAAAAAATAACATAAAAAGTTAAAAATTAACAGTATTTTGTTTTTGTTTTTATTTGGGCTTTAGAAAGTATGAAATGGTGCATTTTTTTTTTTTTTGCACATTTGAAGTGTTGGTAATTCAATCTTTCGATGAGGAAGCTACGTTAGTTCTGTCCTCTCTGTTCTATAAGTCTCTGGAATTCTGTTAACTTTGAGAAATATTGTAGTGAAATATATAGATCTAGAGAACAGTGTTGTACTCTTAGCCATCTATTTAATCTCAGGGTTGATTTGAGTGTGACTGATCCTGTGCAAACATTGATGTAAACTGTCTTGTTTTGCAAAATGGGTGACTTGTCTACTCTAAAGCAGAAGATTGCTCCGAGTTAAAAGGATGCTGATACTCTACATCTGTCTCATTTGCTGTGAGGAGAACTGGAAGAAAAATCATGAATAGGAACTGATTTTTCATATTTTATGGATTATTAGATATTTATAGGTTCCCTTAATTCAAATCTTATGGTCTAATCTTATAATCTGAAAAAGCAAAGAAAAATAATTTGGTTATTTAAATCAGATAAATTAAGTATTTTGAGAACTTTATTATCACATCTCTGTGTTTCTGAAGCTAGGTAACAAACCCTCTTCTTTTCCATGGGTAGCAGAGGCTACCATCACTACAATCCACATTCATCTTTTGCCCTTTTTCATCCTTTTTGTTTAAAAAACAGTTGTTTCATTTAAAATATGTTTGGTATTTTTGTGTGTGTGCGTATGTATTTTTCAACAGATGAAGTCATGACATATTGCTGCTGCTTTAATTTAATTGATTAATTTATTCACCAATGATGATGAATTGAGCACCATTTTTTCAGATACATATGACAATTTATAGAGCCCTTCAATCCTAGTAAGCCAAAATATTAACTTATTTTCTTTAAGTTAACTTCGGTTTCTTAGTTTACGTAATAAATGTATAATAATTGCACATTTATAAAATAGGGTACAATTTCATGGTTGTGATGTATGTAAATACCTGAGAAAACCGTTACCATGATCAAGATACTAAACTTCTCTATAACTTCTAAAAGTTTTTTCGTGCCTTTTTGTTATTTATTCCTGTAACCATTTTAAAAAGAATAACCTACTTTGTGACCTTAGAAGTTAGAGAAAAATTATAGAGCTACAAAATAAATGACAGGGCAATATAATTACATTGACGATTTAAAATATGTGTTTTCCTCTTCTCTTTCTGATTAGGGAGCTTACTTTGCCTGGAAAGCCACAGCAATGGGAAAGAACTATGTGAATGGGAAGACTTTTCTTGAGAAAAGGTAGGTTCACCATAACTGGATGTGTAAGCATATTTACTTTGTGGTTTATAGCTCTCTTTGAATATCCTGAGTCCACACAAATGTATTGTGTTATTCTGTATTCGAGCCTAGTTACAGATAAAACAAAAAACTCCCCACCCTGGCTCCCTGTTCTTCATTATACTAAGTGATAATATTAATTTAAGAACTTCTCTTTCTATCCAAAAAAAACAAAGATAATTGAATTGGGAATAAACATTTTGGGAGGAAAATGTTTTATCTATTTAAATGGTGACATTTTACATTATGACAATTACAAAATAAATTGTGAAGCCAAATACTTGGTATGATGGTAGAGTAAATATATGATATACATGCTTGATAAAAAGTAGAGCACTATGTAAAAATCTTCTGTATTGTACTGAAAACAGTACATTGTTTTCAATTATTTCCACCTGTATTCTGGACTCAACATTAGTGTAGGCCATCAAAAAATGTCCTACATTTTAATGGGAAAAGTTTGCAATTGACTTTGACTAACAAATGAACCTTTTTGGTACATTTTCACATACTAATATTAAGATTGCTAACAGCTGTAGACCTGGGATTAATTGGTAAATTTAAATAATTTTAGGATCTTAAATCACTTCCCTTTTTCTTTTACATATTAATGAGTCTTCAAAACATTTCACGTGGAGTTACAACTTATAAGAACACGAAATTTTAGCAAAAGTCTTTTTTCTGCTTAATTTATTAAAGTTATTGTAATATTGCCACCACATTTTGATTATATTGAACTATTTATACTTAAAGAAGTTTCCTAAAATAAACTCATGTTAGGAGAATACTCTTCATGATATTGGGAATGTACCCTAACTAATTGTAAGTTTCTTATTTGTGGATAGCTATCTCAATGAGGTGACTAAAAGGATTAATCTGTAACTTACTATTTTTAAGTGTTTTACATTTCTAAAAGTCCCTAGCTGTTGCTATCATTGTGTTCAAATAATTATAAATAATACAAATAGTGCCATACATTTTTTTTCTTCAAAAAATTCTTTAGATACAATGAAGATCTAGAACTTGAAGATGCCATTCATACAGCCATATTAACCCTAAAGGTTAGTTCATCTAACAGTTTGATGTATAATGATTTTAATACTTAACTGTTTGGAAATTTGAACTTTTTTCTTGCCTTATCAATAGGAAAGCTTTGAAGGGCAAATGACAGAAGATAACATAGAAGTTGGAATCTGCAATGAAGCTGGATTTAGGAGGCTTACTCCAACTGAAGTTAAGGACTACTTGGCTGCCATAGCATAATAATGAAATGACTGAAAAATCTGGAATTTCAGATAATCTCTAAACTTAAATATGTTTAAAGTATGTTTTGTTTTGCAAACTTTTTGCATACTTATTTCTACATGATTTAATGGAGTGGTGTTTTTAAAATGATACTTAAATCATAATAAACTGTTAAATTCAACTTCAGCTTTTTAGGAGTCAGTAAAATCTTAAAATAGTTATTACCTGATTTTTATCACAGTTGATTTCTAAAAACTGCATCTCAAAACACAATGGTGAGCTCACTCTTTAGTCTTCAGGCAATTTTGGTTAAATCAAATCTTATTACCCTCTTTACTTCCAGGTGTCTATGCTTCAGTAAAGTAAAACGCTGATTTTGATAAACACTATTTTTACAGCTGAGAGAATCTGCCGACATTCATGGATTAGACAAAGTAGGACGCATAGATGTTACTAAGCACCATTAGTTGGGGCTCACTAAAACCCTAGGATGTTCTGTGAAATAGCGCTGGAGCTTAGAAGAGTGCTAAGCCAAATAGTCTCCTATAGGAGGTCACATTACGTAAATAAGAAGGAAATTGTGTGCTGGTTCATGTTAGTTTCTCTCTCACAAGTAGGTAAATGTATTGTAAAAGAGCTCTGGTTCTACTAGACTTGTTTGATGGAAGGATGAATGTGCCAGAAATAAAATACTAATAATTAAGAGTCAAAACTATCGTTTAAGACTCATTCATGTAATCTCAGAGTGATCAGAACCTTTCCTGCAAATTAAGGTTCATACAGGCAAGCAAATGATAGAGGATCTGAACTCTGTTTTCATTATATGTGAAGGTTAATATCGTTTTCTGTGTCTTTTTTAAGGCATCTTAGGATAAGAGAAATTACATTATTCTGGCTCGGATAGTAAGCATTTCCATGATTTAAATGTTGCTAAAAAGATTTTTATTAAAATTTAGCCAACTTTAAGGGAAAAGAGTCTTAGAGACTTTTTGTCAGTTCTACTCACAATGACTGTATAACACCCTATCTCATTATATGTGGCAGAAGCATCATGGTACATGCCAACTTGACTTTTTATTTCAAGATGTTTGTCTTGAAGGCCTCGTCTAATCTTTCCTTGTGGGCTCTTGGTATATTGTGAATCTAGCACACTACAAAGAAGGTAGTGAATGATAAAAAGGAATCAGTTTTAGTAAGGTCTCACCTCTCCCACTAACTGTCTAAGTGGCAGCACAAGGTAATTATCTCAGAGGGTTTTCAGAAACTAATTTGATAATGCAAGTGAAATGCCTGGCAGGGATACTGGTTTGGTTAAATACTCTTAAGTTTTAAATGCCTTTGAATTTGCTCTCTGATGTCCAATATTAAAAAACCAGAGGAATGCCAAAATTCTACAAATCAAAGAAGGGAAAAGTAAAGGCATTTAGTATATTTAGGACAAAAGGGAACCACGTGGAGTTTCTTATTGGATGCTTACATAAATAAAGACAGGAAAAATTAGCTGCAACTGATTGGTGTCAAGAGTCTAATCTCTGCCTATAGCCTCATTAAATATAAAGCCTAGTTCAGTTGAAGCTGCCTAGAACACTTCTCCCTTGTTCTTAGTTTATTCATTTCATTGGCCTTACAAATAAGCCCTTTATGTCTGAATTCTCTGGTTTAGCAACGCATTCCATGCATCTCTAAGTGTCCCCGAACTCTAGTCATTTCCAGCCTGTAGATTCTAGCTTCTGTGTTTTTGTTTTTTTATTGTTGACAGTATTGCAGGTGACCTTAATTTCATCCTCCCTTGTCCCCTCAGTCACTACTGAGTGTACCTATCAGATCCCTCCACTGGCCCAGAGGTTTGCCTTGTGGCCCCTCCCACAGACAGATTGGAGTGAACTTCCCAGGCTGGTGTAACAACAACAAAAAAATCATTCTGTGCTTGGGATGGTGCAGTCTTAGTCTTCCAGGTCAACCAAATCCCCACTTATTCCCACCACCCCGTGCTACGCAGGCACCTCCTACCTTCTCTGTTGCTCAGACTGGGCATACCTGCGTGGAGCTCAGATACCATATTCCTAGGGGGCAGGGACTCTGCTGCTGTGATACCAGCTTCCCAGCCATTATACCTGCTCTAGTTGGCTCATCCTCTCTGTGTCTCCTCCTGGCCTTCCTCTGTATTTCCTGCTGTCAGTATTTCAGATTAGCTACACTTGACTTGCTTTTTCAAGCCAGTTACACTGCAGTTCAGCCACAAGTCTGCTCCAGTGTTGGAAGCAAGCGGACAGAGCTTCTAGCTACTTTGAATCTGATTCTAGCTTCTTTTATTTAAGTATCATAGCCCCTCTATTTTGGGTTCAATTTGTATCTTAAAAATTTGATCTCCACTTGTTCTTCCTTTCCTCTTTTCTAGTTCCTTACTAAACCATGAATTTAAATTTGCAAAACAATTATTAGCAATGAGACATTGAAATACTTCAAGTTCACAAGAAAAGTTGGAATAAGGAAGAAGACTACATAATACTGCTCTTTACAATTATTGAGTACTGTTTGGGCACTGATTAAGTGACAGGGTGAATAAGAGTTTTCATCTATTGTTCAGTTATATTCATGGACCAAAATTGCTACACCTTAGTCCTTAACCTCACCTATTTATCAGGTGTCTTCTAGCCAGTGGAGGCAAGTTCTCTGAGCCCTCGTAAAGAAACACACACTTGGGATATTTAATGAGTAGCCCAAGAACTTAGGAATTAGTAGTGCCCTTGGTTTAGAATTGTCATTTCCTGAAACTCAGTCCAGTGGTCCTGTCTTAATATCACATTGTCTCACGTGGTTTCCTCAATTCACACTTTGTTGATTCTCAAGGACCTTACTAAAGAACAAGCAGTACGTGTTGCCATGAACATGTTTTAAAAGATAGATAACTTGAACACTTCATCAAAGGCCATGTCCCTAAAAGATAGATAACTTGAACACTTCATCAAAGGCCATGTCCCTGAGTTTCATCACTTAACTTTTTTACGTATGCTATTAGGTACTCCTTATTTCAAAATAGGCTTATGTGGTTATTTCTAGGTTCCTGAAATTGAGCCACTATATAAACTTTCTATTCTGCAAGATGAGAATTTAGAACTATTATACCACCCTTAGTAGTCCTCTGTGGCTCAGCTTAGATTACAATGTTTAAGAGGTTTTTATCATGTTTGTGCAAGTATACTATGATGATATTTTTTAAATAATTTTCCTGGAGGTGATTTTAGCCTCACCTTTTTTTTTTAAATCCTCACCCAAGGATGTGTATTAATTGATTTAGAGAGAAAGCGATATCAGTGATGTGAGAGAAACATCAAATGGTTGTCTCCTGTATACACACTGACGGGATCAAACCCCCAACCTTTTGGTATACAGGACAATGCTCTACTCAACTTATCCACCTGGCCCGGAAAACAGCCCTCACTTTCTTATTTGCTTTGTTTTCTGTGTAGCTGTCACTAATTTTTGCCAGTTTTCTCCAACAGGATGGTAAAACCTCTGCATACTGTTTTTCTCATGGTCAAATAATCAGGTAATCTAACAGTTCTAGCCCAAACCTCAAAACCCAAGACCATTTTAAGAAGTTTCTTGGAACCCTCTGTCCTCTGCTTTAATACAAGCTAGTTGTGTATTTGAAACTTATATTTACTCTCTTGATTGGCTGGGTTTAGAGATAGAAACATTGATGAGAGATAAAACATCAGCTGCCTCCTGCATGCCCCCCCCCCCCCCATTGGGGATTGATCCCACAACTCGGGCATGTGTCCCTACCAGGAATCTAACTGGGACCTCAGTCTATGGAATGATGCTCAATCCACTGAACCACACCAGCTGGGCTTTTTTTTTTTTTTTTTTAATTATCTCCATATTTTGAAAGCATTACTCTACTCCCTTCTAGATTCTGTATTGCTGCTGAGATACCTAATGCTGTTGTGTATGTCTGAAGTCAAATCCTTTATACCTTTTTTCCCTCTCTGCAGCTCTTAGTATTGTTCCCTTTACCCACAATATTCTGAAATCTCAGTGATGTAATGCCTTTATGTGGCTTTCTTAACATTCATTGTGCTGAATATTCATTCAGTAGGCCTTTAAACTGTAGAAATTGGTATCTTAAGTTTTCGTAATTTTCTAGTACTGAGAAATAACCTCTTCATTTTCTTTGTTTTTGTTCCTAAAACTCCTATTATTGGATATTAGACCCTTTTGTTATTGCCATATTTTTCACCTGTCTTATTCTACAATTTGGAGATTTTTTACCCACTCTTCCTACTTTACTATTCTATTGTTGTTTTAAGATCTGGGATTATTTTTTTATTTTGAAGAACTCTTTTCTATACTGTCAACTGTCCTTAAAAAAATCCTTGCCCTGGCCAGTGTGGTTCAGTTGGCTGGGCATCGTTGCATGCACCCAAAGGTTACTGGTTCAATACCCAGTCAGGGCACATGCCTGGGTTGTAGGGCACATCCCCAGTAGGGGTCCTGCAGGAGACAGTTAATCGACAATTATGCTCTCACATCAGTGTTTCTCTTTCTCCCTCTTCATTCTTTCTCTAAAAATCAGTTACATATGCATATAATTTTAAATTCGTCTCTTGATTTGTGGCTGAAATACCTTTTATCTGAGGATGCTAGTTAAAGAATATTTTTTGAAACCATTTTGTGCGTTCTGTTTCCTTCAAATTCTAAACAGAAAAATGTTTGGAAGTGCTGTTTGTGAGTGAGTCCCAAATCTACTACTTACTGGGGCATGGTGAATATCAGCATCTACAAACCCTTACACTGTTCTTTAATTTGCTCAGTTTCTCCAGAGAAAATGATTTTTGGGAAAGGGTGGGGGGAGACTGGGAGAGGAGGCTATAGCATTTCATCATTCAGTGGGAAAATTTTCAATTTCAAAACATTTTTCTTGATTTATTTTATTTTTTTTAATTTTCTTGATTTTTGGAGAGAGAAGAAGGGAGAGGGAGAGAGAGATAGAAACATCAATGGGCCGCCTCCTGCATGCCCCCCACTAGGGATCGGGCCCACAACCTGGGCATGTGCCCTGACCGGGAATCGAACCAGCTATCTCTGGGTGCGTGGTTTGACGCTCAACCACTGAGCCACACCGGCTGGGCTTGATTTAATTTTTCTTTTTTTTAAGAGAGGAAGGGAAAGATAGAAACATCCATGTGAGAGAGAAACATCAATTGGCTGCCTCCTGCACACCCGAACTAGGACCTCTCAGTCCATGAGACCAATGTTCAATCCATTGTGCCACACTGGCTGGGCAAAATTTTCACTCTTCATAATGTTTCTAGAGCCCCTCTGGATTCCTCTATTCATCTTGATAAACTAATTCTAACTTGATGTCCTCTTAATTTTTAAGATTAGCCTCACTAGAATAAAGCCCTAACCTTTCTGGGTGACTGGGCACTCTACTAGGTCTTTTGTTCTCTTGAGAGTGGCTCATCTCTATATCCTACTTCCTGTGGAGAGGCCAGGATGGTGTAATGGAAATTGCTTTGCCTTGGTGTCAGAAATCCCAGTCCCAGCACTTACCAGATGTGTAACCTCTGCCAAACATTTTTCTAAGACAACCATTCCCTGGTACTTGGTAGGGGGTTGAGCTTGATAGCAAAACGGTGTACTTAGCTGGAGTAAGGGAATTGTGCTCAACTGGGATAATTTCTCCACTGAAATGCACCGACTTCCACCTAGGAAAGGTCCAACTGAGATTAGGTGCTGGGAGCAGAATTTTCACTGATACATCACCTAAGGCAACAGTAACAGTAGAAAATGAACACATGGGACTACATCAAACTAAAAAGCTTCTGCACAGCAAAAGAAACAACCATCAAAATAGAAAGGCAACGAACTATGGGAGAGCATCATTGCCAATGATACATCAGATAAGGGTTAATTTCCAAAATTTATAGAGTACTCATATAACTCAAAAAAGGAAGACAACCCAATTAAAAAATGGGCAGAGAAACTGAATAGACACCTCTCCAAACAGGACATACAAATGGCTAAGAGACATGAAGAAATGCTCAGCATCACTAATCATCAGAGAGATGCAAATTAAAACAACAATGAGGCATCACCTCACACCTGTCAGAATGGCTGCCATCAACAAATCATCAAACAACAAGTGTTGGTGAGGGTGTGGAGAGAAGGGGACTCTAGTACACTGCTGGTGGGAATGCAGACTGGTGCAGCCACTATGGAAAACACTATGGAGTTACCTCAAAAAATTAAAAATTGAACTGCCATTTGACCCGGTGATCCCACTTCTAGGAATATACCCTAAGAAGTCTGAAACACCAATCAGAAATAATATATGCACCCCCATGTTTATAGCAGCACTATTTACAATAGCTAAAATCTGGAAACAGCCCAAGTGTCCATCAGTAGACCAATGGATAAAAAAGTTGTGGTACATATACACAATGGAGTACTATGCAGCTGTAAGAAAGAAAGATATTTTATCCTTTGAGATAGCAAGGAGGGACCTGGAAAGTATTATCCTAAGTGAAACAAGCCAAACAGAGAAAGACAAATACCATATAATCTCACTTATTTGTGGAATATAATGAAATAACCGTCTGAGGAATAGAGTAGACCCAGAGCCATGAAAGTAGGGCACACAGTGACAACCCTCAGAAGAGGGGATGGGTGTGGGGAGGGAAGAGATAAACCACAGACCTTACATGCATGTAAGCATAACCAATGGACATGGACAACAAAGCTGGGGACGGGGTGGGGGTGGGGGTGGGGGGTGTATAGGGAGGATGGTGTCAATGGGGAAAAAATGGAGAAACAGCTGTAACAACAACAGAAAAAAAGTGGGAAAAAATTTTTTAAAAGATTAGGTGCTGGGAGCGAGGTCAGGGTACCTGGGGCCCTGGGGATGAAGCTGTCGGTGCTGTAGGATTGAGGTCAAGCCCCTCTCCTAAAACGCCATCAGCTTCGCGTGAGGTCGAACCCCGCGAACTCCTCCTCTATTCCTTTCCTTAGGTGTGGTGGTTTTGCGTCTAGGAGATCATCTCCGCGGGCGTGGGACAAGAGAGGTGCCATCAACAAACATGGCCGCCACGTTAACCTCAGTTCCGCTCTGGTGAGGGCGCGGAGCCGCTTGGGAATCGCAGTTCTGCATCCGTCTGCACTGGACCACGTAACGCGGAAGCGCCAGAGGCAGCTCGACTCGCCCGTCCGGAGCACTGGTGGTGGCCTGAGTTGGGATGGGGCGGCCGGGTGAGGTTTCCCCGGGGCAGCGCGGCAGGGGGCTCCCAGTCGGGGTGCGCGGGCACATGCCCACTGCTCGCGGTCCTAGGGTGCTGCCGGTGAGGAGCCGGGGGAGGGAAAGGAGGAGGGAGCCGGACATACCTTCGGGGCCGGTGGGGGCTCAGCCCGGCGGCCGGGCGGGGAGGGTGGCTAGCGCCGGGCCCGCGCGCCCTCCGCCCGGCCCGCGCGCCCTCCGCCCACTCTCGCTCGACGACCCGGCGGCGAAGCTGAGGCTAAGCCTTCCTGGCGAGCCTCACCCTTATTGGTAAATCGCTCTTCCAATGCCGGTCAGGAACGCCCTGCGGACCTCTGGGCCGCCGCGGACTGTTCCACAGAGTTTAGTTGATCTTCGGAGTGGGAGAGGAAGTCGAATTAGTGGGCTCCTTGGCCATTAAAATATGCTGGTTGGTGTTAAATGCAGGAATGGGGAAGTCTTGATTCCTTGGCGCGTGTACTATATGCCCCTGGGTTATCACCGATTAAAGAAGACCCACTCATGAAAGAGGAAAGAGTTCGAAAGCCTAGTGTGGTCATTTTAGAGGAGAGAGTCTTGCTTTTGGACAGTTTGCTAATATCTTTGTGGATAGATTGACTTTAATCAGTTTACTTTGACTTATGAGCTTTTATTAAAATTTCTGTAAGGCTGCTGATAAGGAATTCCTTACATAGATTGCTGAATTCCTGCATTTAATTATGACCCGGGACGTGCTGTGGACCCCATGCCCTTCAAGCTGAAGAAGCGAAGGTTGTAATTTTTAAGAATCCAGCACACCTAAGGAAGTGTTCAGAAGTATAGCTATAATTCTTTCCTTAGCTGTCAGGAAGAAATCATTACCAAAATCAGACGTGCAAAACCCCAGGTTCCTAGACTCAGCCTCCATAAGCTTTGTTGCCAGATTGAAGTTTCATAATCCTCAGAGAAGAATTAGTCGCCATAATTTGTGAGGACTTTAAATGTGCTTTGTTTCTTTTCTTTTCATAGGAAAGGAATAATGCTCTCAGCATGTCTGCACACTCCATGCTTTGTGAACGAATTTCCATAGCCAAGGAACTGATCAAGAGAGCAGAATCACTTTCTAGGTCAAGAAAAGGTGGCGTTGAAGGTGGTGCAAAGCTGTGTAGCAAATTGAAGGCTGAATTAAAATTTTTACATAAAGTAGAAGCTGGGAAAGTAGCTATTAAGGAATCCCATTTACAGAGCACTAATTTAACGCATCTGAGAGCCATAGTGGAATCAGCAGAAAACCTGGAAGAAGTTGTTAGTGTTCTCCATGTTTTTGGTTATACAGATACTTTGGGAGAAAAGCAGACCCTGGTGGTGGATGTTGTTGCAAATGGTGGTCACACTTGGGTGAAAGCCATTGGCCGAAAGGCTGAAGCTCTGCATAATATTTGGCTGGGCAGGGGCCAGTATGGTGACAAAAGCATCATTGAGCAAGCTGAAGACTTCCTTCAGGCCAGTTACCAGCAGCCAGTGCAGTATAGCAACCCTCACATCATCTTTGCATTTTACAACAGTGTATCCAGCCCCATGGCAGAGAAGCTGAAAGAAATGGGTGTATCTGTGAGAGGAGACATAGTAGCAGTTAACTGCCTGTTGGATCACCCTGAAGAGTTACAACCCAGTGAGAGTGAATCAGATGATGAAGGCCCTGAATGTTTCCAGGTGACCAGAGTAGACCGAGAAAATATACTTGCAAGTGTTGCATTTCCAACAGAGATTAAGGTTGATGTGTGCAAAAGAGTAAATCTGGACATTACTACTTTAATCACATATGTATCTGCCCTCAGCTATGGTGGTTGCTACTTTATCTTTAAAGAAAAAGTACTCACAGAACAAGCAGAGCAAGAGAGGAAAGAGCAGGTTCTACCACAGCTGGAGGCATTTATGAAGGACAAGGAGCTATTTGCTTGTGAATCTGCTGTCAAGGATTTTCAGTCTATTCTAGATACTTTAGGAGGACCTGGGGAGAAAGAGAGGGCCACTATATTAATTAAGCAAATTAATGTGGTGCCAGACCAGCCTTCTGAGCGTGCTTTGGGACTAGTTGCCAGTTCAAAAATTAATAGTCGTTCATTAACAATTTTTGGGACAGGAGACACCCTAAAAGCCATCACAATGACTGCCAATAGTGGTTTTGTCAGAGCTGCCAACAACCAGGGTATTAAATTTAGTGTGTTTATCCATCAGCCCAGAGCACTTACTGAGAGCAAAGAGGCTCTAGCCACCCCTCTTACCAAAAAAACTACAAAATAAACACTGAACCCTGATGATATCCTTTAAATACTGTCACAGATATAAGTTATTTATATCAAAGACTGGGTCTTCCCATTTTAATTAGGGGGTAAAAATGTCTATAGTAAAAATAATAACATAGAATTCGAATCGGTAGAATTGATTTGTTTCTCATCAATGAAGTATATAACTTCCTAAAGTAGACGAATCACAAGAGACAACCTTATTTATCAAATTGTTTACATTATAGTAATTAAGAACAGAAGGACATCTATGTAAGGCTTTTATCTGTATCAAAATGCTTTTATTTGATTCAGTAGGGCTACAAATCTCTCTATTGGTAATCATATTTCATGAAATATGACTACACTGCATCTTGTATTAAACACCTGGAGAAAACTGAAGCTTGTTTTTTTTATTATGTTGGTATATCAATTGATAGTATATTGAGGCCAGGAGGTAATAGTGTATAATTAATTTTAGATTCTAAAGTTATGACCATTACTAATGAAAAGAAACTGTGTCAGGTGCAGTCTGTGGGAATATTTACAAAGGGTACATTAATAGGATAAAATAATTTTTTTATTTTTTTCCTATTTTTAAAAAACTCTGATCTCACAACTTTAATGGATCTATTTTTTTTTTTTCTTTATTGATTTGAGAGAGAGAGAGACATTGATGAGAGAGAACAACAATTGCTGCCTCCTGCATGCCCCTCACTGGGGATTTGGGCCCACAACCTGGGCATATGCCCTGACCAGGAATCAAAACTGGCGACCTCTTGGTGCATGGGTTGACACTCAACCACTAAGCCACCTGCTGGGCCCCATGGATGTATTAATACATCTTTGTGGAAAGAAAATAGCCAACATTCACACTAAACCTAGGGCATTTAAGGTAAAGTGTTAATTTGAACAATTTGAAAAAGAATTATGTAAAACATTTAGCCCAGCTGGTGTGGCTCAGTGGTTGAGTGTTGACCCATGCACCAAGAGGTTGCAGGTTCAATTTCTGGTCAGGGCACATGCCCAGGTTGTAGGCCAGTCCCCAGTGGGGGGCATGCAGGAGGCAGCCAATCAATGTTCTCTATCATTGATGTTTCTCCCTCTCCCTTCCTCTTTCTCTAAAGTCAATAAAGGAAAAAAAAAAAAAAATTTTAAAGAATTCAGATTTTACTTTTAAGTATAAACAGTCCCCATATTGCAAATTATAAAAAAGATTTTATATCCTCATAGCCTGACCTCTTTCTACTGTGCCAACTCCTAATTTGTGAGAAGGGAAACTCAATTTCCAGCCACAATGTTTGTTAGGGAGGTAGAATTGGATTACTGTGGTTCATGAACATTCTAAGATGAAATGCAGAATTAAGTGTATCTCTTTTAGGAGAGATTCTATTACTCAGAACACATTTCCTAGGGGAAGTGGTTTTAATTAGAGTTCTAATTTAGTGTAGAGAGGTATATTTAATTTTCATTGCAATTGAAATTATCTAATGTTGGAAATTGGACTTAGGCTTTTTGGAACACCTATTAAAGTACTATTAAGTACTTATCACTATAAGTACTGAGCATTATTATAATAGTTTGGTATAAAAGATAATTGATCTTTGCTATAAGGAATTCTTAGACTGAAATGGAGGTAAACAACTGAAATATTGTTGTATTAAAAAGAATTATGTTTTAAATACTATGAGAACCATAGGTAGTAATTGTTACTATGGAGTCAGGAAATCAGAGAGGAAATGACATTTGAAGGTTTTTAGTGTGAGATTTCCAAAGTTCTGTACAGGGAATGAGTGGGATTGGAAAAGTACAGAAGTGAGTATGAGGTCCTTTCAAAATTTAGGCTCATGTGGATAGTTTGTAAAAGCTGAAACTAGAAGAATAGTTTTCGGAGGAGTGGTATTAGAGGGTCAATGGCAGTTTTTAAGAAATGTTGAGCCAGGATAAAAATATTGGGGAAAACAACTAAAACTTATAGTGTGAAAGAAGAACCCTGGCTGGTTTGGCTCAGCAGTTAGAGTGTTGGCCTGTGATCCAGAGAGACCTGGGTTCAGTACCTGCTAAGGGCATGTCCCTCGGTTGCGGTTTGTCCCCGGCCCTGGTTGGATCGTGCGGATGGCAGCCACTCGATGTGTCCCTGTCACGTTGATGTTTCTCTCTCTCTCCCTCCCACTCTTATCTGAACAAAAAATGAAAAAGTATCCTCGGGTGAGGGTAAAAAATAGTGTGAAAGAAGAATGAAAGGAAGGAAAGATTGGACTATAATGGCCTTGGCTAGAACAGTGATGATAGAATGTAAAGTCATGGGTATAAGCTAGATTTGTTCAAGACAGAATTGACATATTAATTTATTCATTCAGTACACATTTTTGAGTGTCAAGTGCCAGACAGTATGAAGGGCTGAACTTTTAAGCAGAAAAAGGTAGTTTTCTATCCCTGCCTACTATAAATTAATACTTAAGAACTTGAAATCTTTGCCAAATAGAATACGTACAGCTATAGCACTCTGAAGAAAATGCATTCTGAAGTGGCCACAGCTGTGATTCTCCAACAACTGTTATATTTTTCCAGACAATAACTACAATTTCTAACAGTGCAAAGCAATAGATATAGACAAGTAGAGGGGTACTGGATCCTAGAATGTAAAGAAATAGTACCTTCTCTAGATATGACATACTCATACCTCAAAGATCATTCTAGCTGATTAAAAAAATGATCAAGGTAAAAAATGAAGGAAGTAATTTAAAAAAATGAGAACAGTTAAAAGAATGTTCAGTTAAACACCAATTAAAAACTCAAGTAGAAGGGATCTAGTTATACAACAAAACAAATGTCCAAAAAATTGTGAAAAGCAAAGATATGTAAAAATTATGACTAGAAATTGGAAGTAGT